AAAAAAAATCGGATTTTATCATTTCCATACGTAATATATATAAACATCATTGACACCTAACTTCAACCACGCCCCCAACAACCATAAACACTCACAATTTGTCAAATACAGCCTCTAATACTTTGTATAATGCACGGCCACACCGGGGTTCGAACCCGGGACCAGAGACGTATATGTAATATATACGTCTCTGCCAGGACAATATGTTGTTTTATATCCTGAAAGGTATTTCTTCATTTTCTTAACAGTAAATGAATACATGAGACATAACTGCTCAATATGAATTAACTTCTAAGGTGCAATACTTATCGCAATTTCAATCTTAGTAATTCTTAAATTGATTATCATTTTTGTAGATACCCGAACAGTTTTTGAGGAAGTGTATCATGGCAGAAGGTGGTACCCGACCGGCCTCTCTCGACCCTTCGTCTGTAGACAGAACCAATCTGTCGGACTCGTACCTGCTCGATTGTCCTATATGTCTGGANCACATCGTCAATGATGTGTCGGTGACGAGCGATACGGCGACTTCCTTTACCTGCCCGGTATGTAGGACGTTAACTCACCCTGTGGACAAATCAGAGGACAAAGAAAAATGGGCCACGCAGTTTCCAACTGACAGTGTTGCAATCAAGATGATACAGCTGAAAAACAGGACGACAGAACCACATTACTGCATGCCCTGCCAGAAGAAAGGGAAGATGACGACATCTGCTCAGTTCTGGTGTAAAAGTAACCAGTCGTTATTCTGTCAGTCCTGTAAGACGGATTTCCATGATATGATTCACATCAACTGTGACATCGTAGATATAACAGAGTCGAAGAGTTTCCTACTAAAGCAGTTAACATCTGACAAGACATGTGATAAACACAAGGAAAAGATGGATTACTATTGCTTGGACCACAAAACCATCGGCTGTTGTAAATGTATCACTGTTGGCCACAGAAAATGTGAAGAAGTGGCGACTACAGAGGATTACTGTGAGAAACTGGAAAGCAGTTCCCGGTTAGAGGAAATTAAGAAATCTTTACAGCAAGGGGCAGAGGATATGGAATCTCTGATAAAGGATTTTTATCTACAGCTTCAGAACATTGCTGACGACAAGGACACGGCACTGAAAAGCATCGAAGACCTGCATGAACGGATAAATATATGTATCAAAGACATGAAAAAAGAACTAACAGATGACTTGGTCAGAGCGTACAAAGAGGAGAAAGAAAACCTGAAGCTATCTAGTCAGAAATGTGAACGGTTAAAGGTTGCTATACAGAATACACTGGAGTCGTCCACTACAGCGATGCAAGGCAACGACCACATGGAAACAGTCCTGCTATACCAGAGAGGTCAGACGGAGGTCGAATCCTGTAAGGGTTTGGTGAGAGAGATGCGGAAATCACTTTCAACTATCACTATTGAGCATAAAACTGACCATGATGTGACAAACCTGGGCAAAGTTTTGAATTTTGGGAAAATCGTTGTCCGAAAGCAGGGGAGAATTTCTCCATCTGGTACAAAGACATTCGCGAAACCTTTATCCGAATGTGAAGTGAAGGAAGTAAGAAAGGTCAATATCAAATGTCCATCCGATACGTCTGATTGTGCTGCACGGGGAGTTGTTTACCTTGACGACGGCAGAATTGTGGTGAGTGATTACAGAAACAAGAAGATCAAGCTGATCAACACAGAGGGAGATATTGTAGACGAGCTGAAGATGGGTGGAAATCCCTATGATCTGTGTATGGTGGACAACTCCACGGTGGCGACTGCTATAGACAATCCTGGTGGTATACGTATACTGACAGTCACTCCCTCCAAACTTACCCTATCGTCTGAAATAAACACAGAGATGCCATGTTACGGTATAGCGTATAGAGATGGCGGATTCGTCGTGAGTTCAGGATCCGAAGTTTTCAGTGTGATCAGTGATGGTACAAAAGTAACGACACGGAAACTATATGGGAGTACAGATACAGTATTTGCTTTGTCTTATGATTCAAAGTATGGACGACTCTACACCACCCATTACACCGACAGTACTGGCAGTCAGGCTGTTGGTAAGTTGTCAGCTGACAACAAACACTCTGACGTGTTGAAGGTTGGTGTAGTGAGTAGAGCTTATGGAGTGGACGTAGACGTGGAAGGTAACGTCTATGTCTGTGGTTTAGACTCCAGCAACGTGGTACAGATGTCCGGGGACGGGACTAACGTCCGGGAACTGTTAACGGCAGCGGACGGTATCACCTACCCTGAGGCAATATCTGTATGTGGGGATAGGCTTGTGCTGACCACAGTCTCCTTCAAACAGCGTAACTTTATCACAGTGTTTCAACTTATTTGATAAACAATTTACACATTGACACCCATCATTATGGGTGTAATTGAAAATAAATCTAGATTTTTACTTTCAAAAACTATAACATGTAGTGTAGGTCAACAAGATGTTACAAACGTGTTTGTGTTTTGTGTTGAACAACTTATAAAGCTGATTTATACTGAATAGCAGCACTGCTGCATATAATTAACTGTTTGGTAGTACTTTATTGTATATTGATTTTATGATTTGTAAAGGGACTCAATCAAGACATTGTCAGGTGGTTAGTTAATAATAAAATAATTATAAATATCCAATCTTCAGAGTGTGCACTGGAGACTTTTTACTCGCAATCTACAAATAATCAACTTATAATATGTAGAGTATAATTAGTGTGACCGGTGTATTTTTCCTCTCAATTGTAGCCAAAGACTATATAATAAGCTGAATATAGGAGGAATATAATGCCGATACAATCCGACCCTTCGCTTTAAATTTCTTTCTTTTTTTTAGTTTAGTGAATTATACTTACTTATGTTATCTATCCATAAAGATATACACAATAAAATTGTTTTAACAAATATTTTCAAAAATGAGAAAAAAAAGCTTATGTGTTTAAATTCGCTTTGAGATGAAAATTAAATGTTTCCCCTGGATTTTCCGTTATTGTCATCATTTGATTAAAAGATGATACATGTAGCTATGATATCAGTCATAGGCGTGGGTTTTAGTAAATGTATGCACAAACAACAGGATAGCGTTATACCAAACCAGGGACCTGTATTCATGAAACCTTTCTCATTCTCAAACTCATATTTTGTGCTCGAGCCCAATTTCTTATTCGAGTGATAAATTAATAAAAACATACATTTTGCCAATGATCTGGAAGAAATTTGGAGAAAATAAGGGCCAAATACCATTTACGATGTTTAAATTTAACTTATAAACCGTGAATCATGATTTTAAGACAGTTACAAGAAAGTAGGTTTGAGCACAGAATCCATTAGCCCGAGTTTCCTCTGATCCTGACACCAGATATCTATCTGTCAAAATGTCCAAGTCTGGTGTCAGAGCCAGAGGAAACTTGGGCTAAGAGTCCATGCTTGAGCACGAATATGGTTTCATGAATACGGGCTCAGGACTCTTGGATGTATAGCCCGGCATTGTTTATAAGTAGGTGTCTAATAGATTTACCATATCATATAGAAACAGAATGGGGTTATAAGTAAATAGGTAAATTATCCATGTAAATAATTGACCAGTCACTGACCAGGGTCGATTGTGATGGCACGTCGTCCGTCCTTCATCAATTCTTGTTATCGCTAGTCGTCGAACAGTTCTCGACGGTTCTATCTCAAATTTCGTATCAAGGTTCCGTAGTTAAGCATGTTTTATTTTGATACCAATGGGAAAACAAAACAAAAACGGTGGTTGGGTTGTGCAGTGGATAGCGCCCGCCTCTTTCACCAAGACAAAAGTAATCCCTGATATAACTTTTACTGATGGACACATAGGGTTTTAAACCAAATCTAAATAATGGCTTTAACGTTGTGTGACACCAAGAAGTCCACCAACAATTGGACTAAATTTCAAATCGCATAGACATTCTAAATCGATGACATAATAATTCTGCTGTTTAATTCTTAGAATGCCGAAAATTTGACTCCGCCAATTTGAAGTTTCTACAACTGTGACTTCCTGACTTTCATAACGTCGTTGACGCTATGCTAAATATGTCGTCGCGAAAATTGCACGCTTGTGCAAACCAATTTAGCTGTATGACGTCAGTTGTTTAGGGGCGTTCGAAGTATTTGAGTATTTTTTATTCTGTGTAGTTTTGCTTGACGAGTATACAACATGTATTATTATTCCTCATAATAATATTTATCTTGACGACGACAAACATGATTTATCTCGGGGAAATAACTCTTCAGGTCTCCCTCACACCAGGGCAATAAGTGTATATGGTAAATTTATTTCATACACTAAGAAATACACTGCATTTCTGTATCGCTGTAACAATGCAGCACTTGTCTATTGCAAAGTCAAATAAATATTAAATACCCAAAATAGACTTCTCTATTAATTTAGGAGATATCTCATGGAAAATACAGATATCTGAATGAATCCTAATTATAGGAGACTATTGATTAACTTTAAAGATACCGTTAATTCTTTTAGGGATGTATTAATTTAAAGTTGTTACATCAAAAATATCGAATTCTTATATAGCTATATCTATTTCATTGAAATCTATCTCTTTATTAAATTCAATGATATCTGTACTTGAATAAGATTGATTTTACATTTTCGTATCTCTTCAGGATAACTCTCCCACTGCAGGCAAAAAAAACTAAAAATATCCGTTGTAGGTTTTCGTACAAACAGTATCCTCCCTAAAGGATCCGTGTTCCGCTGCAAAAACCGTGACTTCGCTGTAGAGGCTGATTCTTTTGACCGATACATTAGCTTTCTAATTAGAAAACCAAACCTTGTTGGACTTATAAGAAAAAAATAAAAGGGATGAAATAAACAAAATATAATCAAAATAGAGGTTTGAGTGTAAAAGTGTAAAAAAAAATCAGAGGGACTAGACTGAGATTCGAACNATTTTCGTATCTCTTCAGGATAACTCTCCCACTGCAGGCAAAAAAACTAAAAATATCCATTGTAGGTTTTCGTACAAACAGTAACAGTAAACATTGTTCCGCTGCAAAAACCGTGACTTCGCTGTAGAGGCTGATTTTTTTGACCGAGACATTAGCTTTCTAATTAGAAAACCATACCATGTTGGATTTATAAGAAAAAAATAAAGGAATGAAATAAACAAAATACACTGTATAATAAAAAACAGAGGTTTGTGTGTAAAAATAATCTGAGGGACTAGACTGAGATTCGAACACAGGTCACTACAGATTGTTATAATATCACTCTAACCGACTGGTCACTACAGATTGATACACTATCACTCTAACCGACTGGTCACTACAGATTGGTATACTATCACTCTAACCGACTGGTCACTACAGATTGTTATACTATCTCTCTAACCGACTGGTCCCTACTGATTGTTATAATATCACTCTAACATACACTGTATAATAAAAAACAGAGGTTTGTGTGTAAAAATAATCTGAGGGACTAGACTGAGATTCGAACACAGGTCACTAAAGATTGTTATAATATCAATCTAACCGACTGGTCCCTACTGATTGTTATAATATCTCTCTAACCTACTGGTCACTACAGATTGATACACTATCACTCTAACCGCCTGGTCACTACTGATTGTTATACTATCAGTCTAACCGACTGGTCCCTACATATTGTTATACTATCTCTCTAACCGACTGGTAACTACAGATTGATACACTATCACTCTAACCTACTTTTCACTACTTATTTTTATAATATCACTCTAACATACACTGTATAATAAAAAACAGAGGTTTGTGTGTAAAAATAATCTGAGGGACTAGACTGAGATTCGAACACAGGTCACTAAAGATTGTTATAATATCAATCTAACCGACTGGTCCCTACATATTGTTATACTATCAGTCTAACCGACTGGTCACTATTGATTGTTATACTATCTCTCTAACCGACTGGTTACAACAGATTGTTATACTATCAGTCTAACCGACTGGTCCCTACTGATTGTTATTCGATCACTCTAACCGACTGGGCACTACAGATTGTTATAATATCCCTCTAACCGACTGGTAACTACAGATTGATACACTATCACTCTAACCGGCTGGTCACTACTGATTGGTATACTATCACTCTAACTGACTGGTCACTACAGATAGTTATACTATCACTCTATCCGACTGGTCACTACCGATTGTTATACTATCAGTCTAACCGACTGGTCACTCCAGATTGTTATACTATCAGTCTAACCGACTGGTCCCTACTGATTGTTATAATATCGCTCTAACCGACTGGTCCCTACAGATTGTTATACCATCACTCTAACCGACTGGGCACTACAGATTGTTATAATATCACTCTAACTGACTGGTCACTACTGATTGTTATAATATCACTCTAACCTACTTTTCACTACTTATTTTTATAATATCACTCTAACATACACTGTATAATAAAAAACAGAGGTTTGTGTGTAAAAATAATCTGAGGGACTAGACTGAGATTCGAACACAGGTCACTACAGATTGATATACTATCACTCTAGCCGACTGGCCACTACTGATTGTTATAATATCAATCTAACCGACTGGTCCCTACTGATTGTTATAATATCACTCTAACATACACTGTATAATAAAAAACAGAGGTTTGTGTGTAAAAATAATCTGAGGGACTAGACTGAGATTCGAACACAGGTCACTAAAGATTGTTATAATATCAATCTAACCGACTGGTCACTATTGATTGTTATACTATCTCTCTAACCGACTGGTCACTCCAGATTGTTATACTATCACACTAGCCGACTGGTCACTACCGATTGTTATACTATCAGTCTAACCGACTGGTCCCTACTGATTGTTATAATATCTCTCTAACCTACTGGTCACTACAGATTGTTATAATATCACTCTAACCGACTGATCACTACAGATTGTTATACTATCACTCTAACCGACTACGCTACGTGAAATAAAATAAAATAATAGTACAATGAGAATTATCATTTCTCGCAACTACGTTATCTCGGAAGAGGGGAGATAGCTCTTCTCAAAAACAGTACATGAACTATACGTAGTAATATGAAGTTGAACTGAAAACAACTGTCTTAGACCATGAATACACTATGAATACAACGCTTCTGATGCAACCGGTCAGCTGATTTCACACACAATTACAAATTAATTACTATGAACGTCTTAAATATTAAAAAGCAGTCGATCCATCTCTGAATTTCACTTGAAAGGTTACTTGAAGGGGAGGTTACTGTATAAACGAAAAACTACAGTACAACGGTACTGGGGGATACTTAAGATGTAACTGTAGCGCGACTGGAACATACATGCAAATGTAGTCCAATGGGTTAT